AAATCAATGACTCAATCATAAAGGCAGACACTTGTTTAATTCCTGAATGAGTCACTGTTTTAAACATATCAGTTGAGAGAGTGATTCAATGACTCAATCATGCAGACAGTCTTTTGTTTGAATCCTGAATGAATCAATGTTTGAATGAATCGGATGAGTGAATGAATCAATGTTGCACCCATAAAGACAGTCACTTTTTCTTTTTTGTGTGTGTGTGTGTGTGTGTGTGTGTGTGAATGAATCACCGTTTTGAACATATAAGTTGAGGAAGTGATTCAGTGACTCGATCATAAAGACACTCGCTTGTTTTGTTCCTCAATTTGAACATATCAGTTAAGCGAGTTGATACAATGACTCAATCATAAAGACCTATTTTGTTTGAATCCCAAGTGAATTAGTGTTTTGAATGAATCAGTTCAGGCAACGAATCAGTGATTCACTCATAAAGTCACTGACGTGTCGCTACCTACTGGTGTAAACTGCAGGAAAAAAATGCACCAATTATAGCATATCCCATACATATTTAACATATATTTAGGGGTGTGCGATATATATCGTCTGAGATAATATTGTAATTGTTGTTTTAACGATGTGCGATTTGACATTATCGAGTATTTTGCAAAAACCATTCAAAACATCCAGAGCGCATGCATACATTACGTGAAGTCCAGACTAGTGCGTGTGCGCATTTAGTGTGTTTTCTTTCACTGCATGATTCAGTCTATTAAAATGCATTTAGAATGATCACAAATTCAAGACATGATGGCAGAAAATTTATATATTTATACCACTTCATATAGTTATTCAATTTCACACGAAGAGTGCCGTTTTTCTCCAAAAATTACCATGATTACAAATGTGACATTGAATTCAATAAACAATAAGTTAATTAAGAGACTTACGTTTTAGACACCATATTGCTTGTTTTTGCTCTATTTCGCCAACAAAAATCATCCCGAATACAGCCACAGTGCTGTTTTGTGTCTCTGAGCAACATGACGGTGTTTCGTTCCTGAATGAATCAAGCATTTAAATGATTCGGTTCAATCGCAATGACTCACTTATTAACAGTGATTTGCTGCCACCTGCTGGCGGTTTTAATTTCGAATTTCGTCTTTTTCTTTCTTTTCTTTTTCTTTTTTTCATGTTTTAAATCATTTCAAGTATCAGTATTCAACGTTTTATGTTTAATATATCAAAACATTATTTATGCATTTGTAATTGCAGGTTAAATGCATTCATGTCTTGCATTAAACAAAATACATGCGTGTAAATACATCTAAATGCCACTTCAGATGCAGCTTCTGTGTTGATTTAATTTGCTTGGTAACAGCCCAAATGTCTTTCTATTCTAATTCCCTGATTAAATGTAAGAATTTGACTTAAAAGATAATGGACACTTTTAGAAAAAATGGCTTTATAAAGGTAAAAATGCCCATAAAATGCAAAAATCAGTTTAAACTTATTGGAAAATATTAATTTCTATCAGTATGAACTGACCACCACACAGAATATGAAGAATGTTAAAAACATTAGGAGTAAGCTGTCTTCGGCAGTCCTTAAGGTACAAGCACAATAACACACTCAGCAAAATATAGTCTAATTATCGTTATCGATAAAATCCCAGAAAATATCGAGATATAATTTTTCGTCAATATCACACACCCCTACATATATTGTTATATAGCACACAGGTTGCATATTTCTGGGTGCTAAGCTGCTTTTATGGTTCATTTATGTAGTTTTGGAGATTGACAGCTCACATTCCCATTCACATTCATTGTATAGATAGATAAATAAATAAATAAAGCAAAATGTTCTGCAGTATCTTCTTTTGTGATTCCAAGGAAAATAAAAATCATATTAGTTCTAAATGACATCAGGGTTAGTAACTGATTTAAGTTTTTGGGTGGACTATTCTTTTAAATTCTCTCCCATTAATTTCCTGCTGGTTTGGGCAATAAACTTTTTATGGTTCCCTGGATATGAGCAAGTCATAAAGGAAGGTTGTAGCCAAAATTCAAGAATTTCCATAAAATTACCATGTATACGTTAGTGAGTATATTAGTTTAACATGTTTTGTGACTTAATATATAAATAGTATATAAATGAGCATCAGTGTCTTCTTTGTTTTATCAGATCAGTCATGCATGTGCTTCTTAAATGTTCATGGCTGAACTTTGATCTTTTTGATGTTGCTGTTGATGTTTCAGACATAAAGGATGCCAAAAGCAAAGGCAAGATCTGGAAGATAACCAGACCACTTAGAAATGTAGCTGGCATTCACATAATCTTCACACAGGATGACAGTCTTTAAGCAGTGCTTCTCCAGAGATGTAATTTTCACTTTCAGGTCTTCAAATCATTCCTAGTCTTTTTAACAAGTTCTTCAGAAACTCAAAAAGTCATCTCAAAGTCGACTGGAATGGAAGTTTCATAGCATGAACGTCAGTGACAGCGATGTTTTGGTTACTAATAAACATGAGAATCCGTTTCGTTCCTGATATTTATGGAGATGATTACAGATGATTACTGTGTTTAAATAAACTCAGTGACCAGCATGCCTGTCATACCTACCGCATTAGACAGAGTCATGCTCTGCAGTGAACCGTAATGAGAAAATGAGATTTTAGAGGTTTTCAAGCATCTTGCAAGCTGAAAGTGCCAATCTTACTAATGGTAGTGGCTTTTAACTATGGTCTTTCAGTAAATCAGTTAGCACTACCTTAGATCACATAATTAATATTCATGAGCCAAGCTGATAAGTGCTACATTATGCTGACTTTTCAGATTATTTCTATGCCTCTGGTTAGAAGCAGTAATGAATCGGAACGGTTTGCCCGGCAGCTAAATAGATGCATTCAGATTAAGATGGTTGTTCTGCTACGGCTGGTCATTTTCCTCAATTTTATAATTTTTTTGCCATGTTGCATGTTTGAAAAGATGCACGGGAGCTGGATTGTGAAGTTTCTTCCACTGCAGGTAGCCGACTAACCTCAGGCAGTCAATCAAACCGTGGAGGAGCATTGAGGATTCCTCGAGGAACAATGCACCTCACCGTTAGAGGAGAACGTGGTCATTCTACAGATAAGAGACTGAACATTTTTACCTCAGCGAGATAAAGGCCTTCGGTGCTTCAGGCTTTCTGGTTACGATCGGAAAGAAAATTACAGAAGGGTAACATATATTTGCTACAGGCCTTACTGAAAGTAATTTATGCATTTGAAGCATGCTGCTGTTTTTTGTATTATTTCTTTTTCTGCCTGTGTGCCTCGGGAGAAACATTCAAAACTTTTTATAGTAAAGGACATGTACCGTACAATGGGAATAGACTGAGGTCATTGTGAAGAAACCATATTATTAAAGTGCAATGGAAGTAAATAAATGAAATATATATATAAAGTAAACTGAATTAATATGTTTGCATAAAACAACCATTTTGAATCAAACATTGTTTTATTCATTGACTGTGTTTAGAATGGAATAGAACCATATACTAATGCATACTTGTTAGTTTTTTTAATAGTCTGCAGTATGCAATGATAAATGTTTTAAACATCAGTATGCTATATTTATGTAACATGATTTCAATATGTCGCATGCTTAATTCAGCAAGTGCCATCCAGATGTCATGCCGTTTGCATTTTTAATCAAATTTTGTCTAAAAATTTTGTCGTTTTTGGCAATCTGATTAAATACACAGAGGAAAGTGTGAATAATACCACTTTTGAATGACATGTAGCTATTATTTCAGAAATAAATATGGTTATTTTGCCGTTTTAAGCCCATGTAAAAAGAAATATAACTTTTGGCAGTCAAATAAAATAGTGTACAAAATGTTAAATATGTCACTATGATATTTTTATATCACGTATTCCTGTTTATTTAGGTTTTGTTTGAGACAAAAATCCCCCCCCCAAAATATGTTTATTTATTTATTTATTTATTATTTTTGTTTGTTTGTTTATCTAAATTAAATCTAGTTTGTGGTCTGACCAGCAAAAGAAATACATTCAAATCATATTTTTACAAACCTGATGCAAACTACTTTCTAATGTGGTTTGAAATCTGATTATAGTCAATCAAAATAAAGTTATGTAACATGATCTCAATATGTTGCATGTTTAATTCAGTGAGTAGCATCCAAATATCATGCCTTTTGCATTTTTAAGCACATTTTGTTTAAAAATGCTGTCATGTTTGGCAATTATGAAGAAATACACTGCACGTGTTGCCAAATGTAGTGGGTCGTCCATGCATGCTAAGTATGCCATTCTAAATCATAGTCATCCATTCGCCAATGGTTTCATTTTTGATTGTAGTTTTCCATGTCGATTCGAGGTGACCTCTAAGCGTGTGAGTCGCAGTCACTCATCCATCATGGCTCTGCTAATCCATTAGTTCAGCCACTTAATCGGCAGATATTGAGCCACTACAGCTGCTAATTACCACAGGCCCAATGCGATCTACCTGATAAATACAAAGCGCTTTCAATATCTGAGAGGCTGTCTTGCATTTCAATGAGATAATTAAATGTTCCTGCACCCTGAGCGGATATTGCTGAAGTGCACTCAGTGTTTGTAATTGATGCTAACCCGTCCTAGCTCTGCAAAAGTTAGTTCTGAGGGTAATTGAAGGATATCATATCCTGGCACAGATCTCAGGGGATGGAGTTGTGTTCCTGTCGTTATTGGTTGAATTCTGAATATACCCAGAGTTGATGCTACAACAAATTGCTCTATTTGGAAATGTTTTCATTAAAAGCTTTATGCAATCTGGAAATGCATGCTTGTTTGAATTTTTTTTTTTTTTTTTAATGTTTTGGTGTATAACTCAAGTCTGTTTAGTTGTTTGTAGTCTGAACAACAAAAGAAACACATGAAATCAGATGTAATACAAACCCTACTTTCATATGTGGTTTAAAATCTGATTAAAATAAATCAAAATAATTACTGAAATACTAAATTCTGAAGTTCAAACGTGTCTTGTATGTGTTCAAGCTGTTGCAGGGCAAGTCAATCCCAAAGCTGGGCACGCTGGACCAAATCGAGACCGGAAGTGGAGAGGGATACAGCGGAGACTGTGATGATGAGGACGGATGCTGGGGATCAGGGAACGGAGCGGCTGAGAGGAGAAGAATAGAAACTATATGTAAGTAGTAATCTTAAGGACTTGCAAGGAAGATTAACACAGTTAATGGTAAAGAAATAGTTCACACAAAAATGAAAATGTGAGATTTACTCACCTTTAGACCATCCATAATGTAGATGAGTTTGTTTCAGATTTGGAGAAATGTAGCATTGCATCACTTGCTCACCAATGGATTCTCTGCAGTGAATGGGTGCCGTCAGAATGAGAGTCCAAACAGCTGATAAAAACATCACAATAATCCGCACCGCTCCAATCCATCAATTAATGTCTTGTGAAGCCAAAAACGGCATGTTTGTAAGAAACAAATCCATCATTAAGACATTTTATTTTAAACTTTTTTTTTTCTTCTCTCGGCTAAAAGAGTTCTCTTTCCATAATATTGTTTTCTGCAAGTCATCTGGTCTGAATCAGGAGAGAAATATGCACAGATCAAGCACTGTTTACAAGTGAAAACAGTTCTAAACAAATATGTGGGTGGATTGAAGATGGACTTTTCCCACTGGAGTAAGCGTTACTATGGATTATTAACTCATATTTTGGCCAGAAACAACGGTTTGAAGTTGCTTTGATGACTTGATGGATTTGTTTCTTACAAACATGCATCTTTTCACTTCACCAGATGTTAATTGATGGACTGGAGTGGTGTGGATTATTGTGATGTTTTTATCAGCTGTTTGGACTTTCATTCTGACGGCACCCATTCACTGCAGAGCATCCATTGATGAGCAAGTGATGGAATGCTACATTTCTCCAAATCTGTTCCCATGAGGAAACAAACTCATCTACATTTTGGATGGTCTGAGTGTGAGTACATTTTCAGCGACTTAAAATGTTTTAGTGAAATATTCCTTTAACACCGTAAACAATGTCCTTTTGTTAACTGTAGACCTGCTAATCGTACTTGAGTCGCTTTGTTCCTGTGTATGTCATCATTTGACCATCATAAATCAGAGATTAAAAGCAGAAAATACACATCCGACGTTCAAATGGAAGGCGGAATTAGATCAGACTTTCATTGACGCTTGATATCAGAGTGTAATTAAGAGGCGGAATTAAGGTCAAGCATATAGAAACATTTTTCCAGACATTTCTCCCTCCAAATGAATTATGCAATCAAGAATAACGTGGCTGTAAAAAAGTGGAACAAATCAAAGTGGCCGTCTGGTAATTACTTCATCTTCCGGAGGGGATTGGATCTCTGACCCATGGCCCCGCTAAATCAAGCTCAAGGGACGCGTGCTTCCCTCTCCAAACCTCCTCTATCTCCCGTATGCTCGTCTGATTAATCGCCCCGCACTTTTTGTCTGGATGGGGCGTTCCGGGTCATCTAAATGTACCGTCGCATCTCGCTGGTGTTTCCTTTTCCTCCTGTCAATCTGCCGTGGTGTGTCAGCGCCGCCTCATGCCCCTCTCATAATTCATGGGATGCTGTGACGATGCGCTCATTTATCACCGTCTCTCCCACTCATCCGCTGTACAGTGCTCCGTCCAAAACCACGTCACACCTCAGCTGTCGATGTGCCGCCCGTTACGACCGTCGATAAGTCACGTAGATGGGGCTCACAGTCAGCAGTCACGCTTTATGTTTGGATCTAGATACAGAGGCAAAACGACAACTGCTTACGTGACAGAGTAAGTGAGGGGAGACGTCGCTGTCTTCATTCTCACTTACATTCATACTTACATTCTGCTTGTGCATTCTCCTGCAATAAATCACTTTCTTAATCGGTGTCTTCATCTTGATTTCTAGTAAAATATATGTGCACTGAATGTCATTAAACTAAGATAGTGTTACATTTAAAAACAAGATTGTAATGCGTATTTTTGTTTTTAGGGAATGTATGATGAAATCGTGTTGCTTGCCTGTGCAAAACTTGCTGACATGGTGCTTGGGTGTCCAGAGTGGTTGCTAGGACATTGCAAAGTGGTTGTTATTGTGTTTGGGGTTGTTGCTAGGGTTTTACGGGTGGTTGTTAGAACATTTAAAAGTGTTTTCTTGCAAATTGTTTGCTAGATGGCTGCTATGGTGTTTTGGGTGGTTGCTAGGATATAGCAGAGTGGTTGCTAAGCAATTTCTAGGCATTGCTAGGTGGTTGCTATGGTGTTTTGGGTGGTTGCTAGGGTTTCCGGGTGGCTATTAGAATATTTAAAAGTGTTTACTTGCAAATTGTTTGCTAGATGGCTGCTATGGTGTTTTGGGTGGTTGCTAGGACATTGCAAAATGGTTGCTAGGTGTTGCTAGGCAGTTTCTATGCATTGCTAAGTGGTTGCTTTGGTTTTCTAGGTGGTTGTTAGAATATTTAGAAGTGGTAGCTTGCAAATTGTGTCCTAGGTGGTTGTTGTGGTGTTTTGGGTGGTTGCTGGGGTTTTCCGGCTGGTTGTTAGAATATCTAGAAGTGTTTACTTGCCAATTATTTGCTAGATAGTTGCTATGGTGTTTTGGGTGGTTGTTAGGACATTGTAAAATGGTTGCTAGGTGTTGCTAGGCAGTTTCTATGCGTTGCTAAGTGGTTGCTTTGGTGTTTTGGGTGGTTGTTAAAATACTTAAAAGTGGTAGCTTGCAAATTGTTTGCTAGGTGGTTGCTATGGTGTTTTGGGTGGTTGCTATGACATTGTAAAATGGTTGCCTGGCAGTATCTAGGCGTTGCTACATGGTTGCTTTGGTGTTTTGGGTGGTTGATAGGGTTTTCCATTTTAAAGAGTTTACTTGCAAATTGTTTGCTAGGTGCTTGCTATGGTGTTTTGGGTGGTTGCAGTTTTGGGACATTGCAAAGTAGTTGATATGTGTTGCTATGCAGTTTCTAGGCGTTGCTATGGTGTTTTGGATGGTTGTTAGGGATTTTCCAGGTGGTTGTTAGAACATTTAAAAGTGGTTTCTTGCAAATTGTTGTTTGGGTGGTTGCTAGGACAATGCAAAGTGGTTGCCAGGCAGTTTCTTGGCATTGCTAGGTGGTTGCTTGGGTTTTCTGTTGCTAGGACATTTAAAAGTGTTTCAAATTGTGTGCTATGTGGTTGCTATGGTGTTGCTCGGGTGTAGGAAATTACCTGTGTTTTCAGATGCATGAAAATAAGAAAAAAAAGTTTCATTTGTTTTCTGTAAATCTCAGTCTTGTCTTCCAGTTTAGATATGACAGACAAACACAGTGTGATGTACATTTGATCATCCTATCAGGACACTGTTGTGGTGCAGTTGAAGTTAAAATGGTTTGTTGCTCAGCAGGGGTTGCTGAAGTACTGAAATATTCAGTAGTTTATGGTTTGCTTCGATCTCTCAAAGCCTAAAGCTGCTGAGGTACAAGAACTAAAAAAAAACACTATCTCACCGATACTCACCTGTCATTTAAAACCATTGGCTAGCAATACACAAAAACCACCAGATTCGAATGACTCATTTTACCGTGAACGTTTGATTAGTATTGAGCTCCTGCCTCCCTCAAGAGCACTGTCACCCTGAAACACATCTGTGAGTGCTGGGACCGAGCTTCAGCGTGTCGCGCCGAAGGGAAATAAATAAAGAAATACAACAGAATCAAACGCTAGTGTTGTCTTCCCTCAGTGTGAGAGTAATAAATAAAATATTAACAGACGCAAGACGTGTGATTCTGGCTCGGTGCGCCGAAGTCTTCACACAAAAGGATGCGTCGCCCGGCTCCTTGTCAATGTCACCTGCGCACGCTCTCGTGTTTGGCAGCGAATCCAGACACTGCGTACTTAGTATGGAAAACAAAAGGCGTCAGCGAGACGTATCGGCAGGGAGTCGCATCGATCTCCAGTAAGGAGACACAATGAGAGGAAGTGCAGGCTGGTCCCTTCAGTGAGCACTTGTTAATTAATAGCCTGTCTCAGGACGGGATTACATGATATCGCCCCCAGGCTCTTCATCCACAGCTATCGCTTGAAGGTGATCTTTCGCACCTGATGAGCTGTAATGATCCTATTGTATTTAAATGGGTCCTTTAATGGGCACTTTTGGGGCACTTCATTGACCAGTTATGGCATTGGAAGCTCATCAGTGGTTATGTAGCATGAGAGGTGCAGCAGCACCGATTGCTTGACCAAAAACAACAGGCAATGTCGGTGGGATGGGAATTGTTGTGTAGTGGTTTTAAAGAAGCATCCCTTAGCGATAATTTGCTGTAACTTTATAGCCTACTAATACTAAACAAAAACAATAATATTAGGCCGGCTCTTTGAAATGAAATAGCATTTATTGCAACCAAACTGAAGTAGTGACTGTGTATCTTTAACATTTTGTCGGGGATTCTGAGCTTGAGTTAATTTTGAATCTATATTTTGTTCTGTTTTTTTTTTTTATCGTTCTATCTATCCATTGGTTGTTCTATCATTCATTCATTCTATTGTTCATTTTGTTTTCCATTCGTTCTGTCTATCTGATGTTCTGTCTTTCAGTCTATCATTCTACAACTCTATATCATTCATTCTATTATTCATTCTAACTATGTGATCTGTCTTTCAGTCTATCGTTCTGTCTATCCATTGGTTGTTCTATCATTCATTCTGTTGTTCATTTTATCTGTTGTTCTGTCTTTGTCTATCATTCTATCTATCCGTCATCGGTTCTAGCGTTCGTTCTGTCATTCCTGCTGCTGTTCTTCCTTTCAAACCATCATTCTGTCTATCCATTGGTTGTTCTTTTTTTCATTTTGTCATTTTACCATTTGTTCTATTGTTCATTTTATCAATCATTATATCTATCTATCTATCTATCTATCTATCTATCTATCTATCTATCTATCTATCTATCTATCTATCTATCTATCTATCTATCTATCTATCTATCTATCTATCTATATGTGTGTTATGCTGTCTTTCAGACTATCGTTCTATCTGTCCATTGTTCATTCTGTCTTTCAATCTATCATTCTATCTCGTTCTATTATACATTGTTCATTCTGTCATTATGTGATCTGTCATTCAGTCTGTCTATTGTTAGTTGTTGTTGTTAGTTATTGTTTATTCTAACATTCATTCAATCTGTT